AGTTACTGAATCAATCCACCTCATAGAGGGCCTTCCCCTCCTGCGCTGTCCCTCCACCCTCCAAAGCATGATGTCCCCCTCTCCAAGGACTGGTCCCTCCTTACAGCATGTCCAAAGTATGTTAGAGCCTCAGAATCCTTGCCTCCAAGGAGCCACCCTGAGTAAATAATACCAGAAGTCAGGCTATATAAAAAGAATGTGACATCAAGCTTGGAGGAAGACTCATGAACAACCTGCAATATGCAGATGACAAAATCTTGCTTTTGTGGAAATTGAAGCATACTTTAAATTATTCCTGAAGATTATCAATGACTACAATAGCCTTTAATATGGAATACACCTTCACATGAGGCAAACAGAATTCCTCCCAACTGAATAAGCAACAACATTAGTGATGGAGAGAAGACTGAAGTTCTCAGGATTTCATTTACTTGGATCCACCGTAAAAGCTGTAGGATCAAGGCTAAAGTGCACTTGATCCAAGCCATGGTATTTTCCACTGCTTTGTTAGGCATCTGAAATTTCACCAATGAATAAGGAATATAGAAGAAGAACTGATGTATCTGAACTGATATCTTGGTGAACAATGTTGTTGCTGTTGTTATGTGCCGTCAAGTCGCTTGTGACTCATAGCGACCCTATGTACAACAGCCCTAAACCCTGCTGTATCCCGTGCCAATCGCACTGCCTCTGACACACCCATCCCGATTACCCCAGTCACTGAATCAATCCATCTCATAGAGGGTCTTCCCCTCCCGTACCGTCCCTCCACCCTCCCAAGCATGATGTCCCTCTCCAAGGACCTCTCCCTCCTTACAACATGTCCAAAGTATGTCAGACAAAGCCCCAGAATCCTTGCCTCCAAGGAGCAGCCTGGTTTAACCCTCTCAACCTGTATGGAGAACAGATGATCCGAGAGGCTAGGATCTATGAGAAGTGTGGTGTCAGGATTGGTGGAAGATCTATTAACAATCTGTGTTATGCAGATGACACAACCCTGCTTGCTGAAACTGAGGAGGACCTGAAATGCTTGCTGCAGAGGGTCAAGGACTGCAGCCTTCTGTACGGTTTGAAGCTCAATGTCAAGAAGACAAAGATTCTCACCACTGGACCAACTGGCAGCATCAGGATGGATGGTGAAGAGATTGAGATTGTTAACAACTTTAGTCTGCTTGGCTCCACAGTCAACACTGTTGGCACCAGTAGCCAGGAAATAAAAAAACATATTGTGATGGTAAAGTCTGCTGTTAGGGACCTCTCCAGGATACTGAAGAGCAATGGTGTCACTCTGGAGACTAAGGTGCGTCTGATACAAGCTATGGTCTTTGCAATCACTTGTTATGCATCAGAGAGTTGGACAATGACTAGGGAGGATAGAAGGAGAATTGATTCCTTTGAGCTGTGGTGCTGCAGAAGAGTATTAACTATATACCATGGTGAACAATACTGGCTAAAATATGGAGATATATAGAATGTCTCACTCTGGGCTTGCTTTTAGGAGGAGTCTGTTTCTGGAAAAGGACACCATGCTGGGAAGGTGGAGGATCAGCAATTAAGAAAATTCTCAATGAGATAGATGAATAAAATCACTGCAACAGAGGGCTTAACCAGCAGCGACTGTGAGGACGGCACAGGACAAGAGTCTAATCTGCTGTACACAGGACTACTAAGAGTCCAAGTTGACTTGATGACGTGTAACAACACCCAATATTATCACTTAAGCTTTGTGCTCAACCAAGTAATTTATTTTTGTGTCTCTAATTTGTTTTCTCTTTTTATTTAGATGTTTTTTAAAAATGAGATAATACACATGTATGTTAAAGGGGGAAAGGTAATCCTATAGCCTTAGTATTGTACATTCAGAAGATGTCCTTTTTGTGTTACATTTCCAAACCCCCCATATTTTCCCATTTCAATCGTGAGAAAACTTCATACAACTAAAACTGAGGGGCATTCTACAGAATACCTAATTAAGAATCTCCAAAAGCATAAAGGTAATGAGAGACAAGGAATGACAGAGGCTCTGTTCCAGACTAAGAGAGACTAAAGAGAAATACCAAATAAATGGAATGTGAGATTCTGGAGAATCCTGGAATTGAAAAAAGGATGTTACTGTGAATGGTGAAATTCAAGTAAGGATTTGGGTTTGGTTAATAATCTTGTGACCAATGATAATTTCCTGTTCTTGATACACGCACAATGGTTACATAAGTTATTAAACTGGGGAAGCCAAAGGAGGTCTGTAAGGAACTCTTTGTGCTATTTTAGCAACTTTTCAGTAAGTCTAAAAATAATGTCAAATGAAAAGTTTTCTAATTCCATGTTTTGAAACTGATCCAGTGTGAGTCTTTTAAAAATGGTTTTGGAAAAAAAACTTCAAGACTTAGTATATAGAAAACATTAAAAAATGATAGTCACTACTTTACAAGTATTTTATATATACTCTCGTGGTATGCACCTTCAGTGAGAACCCACTCATAGCTGACCCTCCAGTGGGTTTCAGAGGCTGTAAATCACACCAGAGCAGACTGTCCATCTTTCTCCCCAGACCAGCAGGTGGATTTGAACCATCTGTCTTTACGTTGGCAGTACATCTCTTTTACCCCATTGTCGTTGTGTAATGTCAGGTTGGTACCAACTCACTGCTGACCCTCCAGCAGGTTTTCTGAGAGAGTAAACGTCATGAAAGGATATTGTCCATCCCTCTCCCACAGAGCAGTTGGTAGATTCGAACCACATGCCTTTGGGATTGCAGCACAGCTTCATACCAAAAGGCCACCAAAACTCCCTTTGTTACCACTATTGTTGTTGTTGTGTACACTTGAGTCAGAACTGAATCATACCTGAGCCTCTGGCAGATTTTCAAAAGGAAGCTGCCCATCTTTCTCCCATGTTGAACTGCGTGCTTTTGGGATTGAAGCATGGCTCCTTACTGCTAAGCCACCAGAGCTCCCTCCTCACCACTGTTGTTGTGTATCATCGATTTAGATTTGACCTATGGCTGACCCTCCAGTGGGTTTTCAGAGGCAGTTAATTACAGGAGAGGAGAATGTCCATCTGTCTCGCATGGTGGATTCAAACCATGTGCCTTCAGGATTGCAGTGCAAACTCTTACCATTAGACCACCAGAAATCCTGTGTGTGTGTGTGTGTGTGTGTGTGTGTTTAATAAAAAATAAATGTAATTTAAAGTAAAATGCAGACAAGTCTGTCCTGGAGAGAGTGAAGCCAGGTTACTCCCTGGAGGCAGAAAACTCTGTCTCACATACTTAGAGCAGGCTGCCAGAAGGGACCAGTCCTTGGAAGGATGGAAGGTCAGCGTAGGAGAGGAAGACCCTAAATGAGATGTACTGACACAGTGACTGTGGTAACGGGGTAGGTGTGTTGAAGACAGACTGGCTCAAGATAGAGAAGGGTTCAGAACTTCTGTTCACTAGGTCACTATAAGTCCTATGTAGTTGACTTAATAGCACATAACAAGTGTAGTTTTGTTCCGTTCCAATTTTATCTTCTATTTCTTCCCTACCACAGCTGGTTTACAGCATCAATTACTGAAACACTATTGCTGCTTTAGTTTCCCAGAATGCTTAAGAAAAAACTCAGGAGCTTTTTTCCAGTTCCTGTGCTTAGTGTTAAGGGAGTTCTGGTGGCTTAGTGGTAAAATGTTTTATTGCCAACCCGAGGGTAGGTAGCTCGAATTGAGCAGCTGCTCTGTGAGAAAAAGATGGGTAATATTCTCCTATGATATACTGCCTCTGAAACCCTGCTGGAGGTTCAGCTGTGAGTCACGTTCCACTCAATGGACATAACAACAACCATTTTGGATGAGTCCCTGGCTCATTTGTGATATTCCATACTACCAAATAAAACCAAGCTCTGAGGTTTATTACTATGAGGAGAAAATAAAAACACAGTTTCTCTAGTCCATATAGATCATAATGATCTTAATCTTTTAAAAAAAAATCTGTTTCTATAATCTTTCCCATATGATGGCTGAGTATGGCTTTAATTTTTATTTCTTTCACAGTTTATTACATGTCTCTATTACTATAACTTTAAAATTTTCAGCATTTGGTAGCATATAAGTTATTTATTACAAAGAATTTTCAATGGACCAAGCAATGGGGTATAAGCTGAAGTAAACCTATGACAAAGACAGTCACAAGATTTGCCATCAGGCTATCTACAAATATACCTCATTACGTTAAACTCTGGTCAACTTTTAAATTTAACATGAAATATTCAATAAACTTTGCTCCAAAAATCTTCTAAAATGTTCCCAGTGTCTCTGGACAAGATATATGGCTATTAATGTACAAAACCACAATGAATGAACCAATTTTGAAGACTAATGAACATACACTAGTAGAATACCTCATATTACAGATAACACCATGGTTAACATATCCTGCTAGTTCTGACTGAACCAGAAGAGAAATCTTTAAACACTAGTACTTTATCTCATATTTCAGTCACTATTTTAGTGGCAATTTAAAAAAAGGAATATTCTCATTTACTTCCCATACGCAGCTTATGAATAATACACGGTCTAGGACTCACTCAGGGAAGCTTTGAACAGCTGAGTGGGTGTAGCTCCTCTTACAGGCTTCGTATTTTATCATGTTCATTTCCATATATTTAGGAAAGAAGACAGGGAAGGTAGGAAAATCATGTAAAATACAGGCAGATGAAATTGGAAAAGAGTCACTTCCTTCTACCTGCAGGTCTCTAGATTCAGTAGTTAATGAGTGAAGCCATTCAAAATCTCCTCAGGGGTCACAGACTTCTGTACATCTAAAACTGTGAGGCAGGGTGATCTAGGATGGACGCACCTGGCAGGGTGATGTCGTCATTCTCATCGTCTATGATTTCCTCCTCAGCAACATCCAGGGAGCTCTCGGTAATCATGTCACTGGGCTCCTCCACACAGGCCAGGCCAGCGTAACTGTTGAGAATATCGGCACCAGGCACATGCTCCACAATTACAGCAGGAAAGATGGCTGGGTCACCAAGCTTGAGGAGGGGAGGGCAAGAGAAGGAGAAAGAAAAGAAAACTTAAACACAAAGGCCATTTGCTTTATAGGACGTCCCTCAACTTGGGAGTCCAACACACTTCCTCATGATTACAATCAGTACACACATGTGGCAGAAATACTACAGAAATGATTTGTGTCTTTTCTAATACATCTGTCAAGTGTGGACTCAACCTTGCAAAAGCAATTTGGTTTTTGTTCTCTGTTCTTTTGAGCTGACTCATATTTGAAGCTAAGAGACTAACCGCTCGGAGACTAGGTGTGGACTAAGTCTCAGGAACCACAACAGAGTCTAATGGGCCACAGGGGGGAGGCCCCTAAGAGGCCAGACACTTAGGCCCAGGTCCACCTCCCTGTTGGTAATCATGCACAGGAGATGGCATTGTTGTGTATCATCAAGTTGAAACGGACCCATAGTTGATCCTACAGTGAGTTTTCAGAAGCAATAAATTTTACGGGAGAAGATGACCCGTTGGATACGAACCACACACCTTTGGGTTGGCAGTGCCACTCCTTAGTACTAAGTAACCAGAGCCCCCTTCCCAGTAAGTCACCAGAGCTCAGAAAAAAAAAACCGAGTTTCTACTTCTTAAGCATCTGGGAAAACTAAAGCAGCAACTATGTTTCAGGACCTTATTTATTCTAACTTAGTACTAAGTCACCAGAGCTCCATATGTGAGCTCTGCAAACTATGGTGTGCCCTCTGTGAATTCTTTGTGTTGTTCTCATCATGAATTCTTTTCTTTCTTTTCTTCTTCTTCTTTTTTTTTTTTTTTTTTTGGTTTGTGTGTGTGTACTGTCAAATCAGATCTGACTGATACAGGAGGAGATTGTCCCTCCTTCTCCAGAAAAGCATCTGGTGGATTTGAACTGCGCACCTCTGGGACTGCAGTGCAGCTCCCATGAATTCTTAACCCCCAGTGGCAGTGAGAGCCAACAGAGGTTTGTGTCTATATGCTTATCAGAAAGGTAGTGTCCCCTAATTTAGGAACTTTGATCCACCTGCAGGTTCCTGGGGCAGGGACAAGAGTGTACCACGTGAACAGCTGGCAGTGAGACCGGTGAAGCAGAAAGGTGAAGATTAGACACATTTCCACATTTTAGGGATCTGATTCATGATGAATTTTACTACAAAGTTAGTATTGAAAGTACTCTACCCCTTAATTAGTACAACACATCATATCACATCATGGGATCAAAAAATCTACTTATCCCTTTACTTGTGATGTCATAGTGACTGTAATGGTTTTCTCACAGTAAAATTACTATTTTTTTATTATTACTAATTATTCTGGGAAAGCAATATTTCAACATCCTACTTATGTAAACATCCTATTTCTCAAAGGAACAATTATTGATAAACGACTATCTTCTAAAACGTAAGAAAATTTCCTGCCCAAAGATAACAATGTAAGATAATATATTTCCTTTGCTAAGTCAAGGAAAATATGTGAATGTCAGATGGATCTTGGTTGAAATCAAAAGATACTAGAAAGAAAATTATCTGTGTTTTACTGACTACGCAAAACTATTCAACTGTATGGACCACATATTACTGATAACACTGCACAGAAAGAAATTCCAGAGCATTTAAAAGTAATAATGTAAAACCTATACATAGACCAAGAGGAAGTAATTTAATCAGAAGAAAGGGATACTGTGTGATTTAAAATTAGAAAAAGGATGTGTCACGATTGTATCTTTTCATCCTACCTAACAATATGTATCCTGAGTAAATAATCCAATAAGGCAATAATAATAATAATAAGAAGAAGGAAGGTTCATTAACCTTTGATACACAGATAATATTCTTTGCTTATTAAACACTGTGACACTGATGTGTCAAATGTGGTAATGGTTACCCATGGTGGACAGGGTTTGGTAGAGCTCCCCAATTAAAACAAGCTTGGAAGCAGGAGTGGCATCCACTTCCATAATAGCTTGCCTCAGGAAACTCTATGCACTTGAAGAAAAGATTTAAGTTATACAAGTGTTCAGGTCTTTTGTTCATAGGGTCGCTATGAGTCATCTATGACTCGACAGCACTTAACAACAACATTTACAAGCAAAGAGGACTTGAAGCACTTATTGAGGAAGCTCAAAGACTGCAGGCTTCAGTATGGATAGCAATTGCACATAAAGAAAACAAAAATCCTCACAAATAGATGAATAAACAGCATTATGATAAACAGAGAAAAGTCTAAAATTGCTAAGGATTTCATTTTACTTGGATCAACAATCAACATCCTTGAAACAGCAGCAGAACAATCAAATTATGAGTTGCCCTGGACTTCTATACAACACTAAAGAGAAATGATTTTGTAAAATACTACATATCATGGGGTAATCTATAGAGTATTATGTTGAGTGAGCTAACTCAATCTCATAAGGACAAATGCTGCATAAAAGCATGACTATAAAAACAGAAGCAAAACTAGTAAAATGTGGATAAAAGTGCAAAAAGTGACAGGGAGAGAGGAAGGGGGTGAGGAAAGGAGAAAACCACTAGTATAACAGAGTATGCTGGTCATGGTGAAGGAACTAGAAAAGATTGAATGGGGACCTGAAAAAACAATGTAACAAGCAGTAGGCATACAAAAATGATGATTAATGGTATAAAACTCAATGTACATGGGTGAAACACAGTGTGAATGTAGGAATGTGTGAAATGCAATATACATATGAATGATATATAATGTATATGAATTTTTTATCAAAACCAATATAACACAGAAATAAAGTGGGGTAAAAATTTCCAGAAATAAAGGTACCACTTTCAAGACTAAGGTGTCTGACTAAAGACATGGTATTTTCAATCTCCTACTATGTTATATTCCCTTGGTAGTTGCGATGCTAATCACAAGGCTACACCTCCCTGGTGGTTTTACTCTACCAATGGCTCTAAGAGAAAAAGATGGGTGTTCTCCTTGTCTATTATTTGGTTTCAACTAATCTACAGTAGGAACATGGTTTTGGGGTTTTTTTTTTTAATTTTATTTTATTATTTTGTGTGTGTACACCGTCAAATCAGACTTGACTGGTACAGGAGGAGACTGCCCCTCCTTTTCCAGCAGAGCATCTGGTGGATTCGAACTGAGTACCTCTGGGATTGGAGTGCAGATTTTTGCCACTAGGCCACCAAAGCTCCCTAGTGAGAACAAGTATATGAAAAAGCTTTACAATTAATAAGAAAGGCTGAAGAAGAATTAATGTCTTTGAATTGTGTTGTTGTAACAAACTATTGAACATACCATGATTGCAAAACATAGGTTACTGTTGAGTGAACCTTCCTTGCTCAAAGTGAGGAGGACTTGAGACACTTGTTGCAGAAGATAAAAGAATATAGCCTTCAATATGTGTTGTATCTCAATGTCAAGAAATCAAAGATTCTTACCACTAGACCAATAGGCAACATTATGATAGTTGGAGAAAAGATTGAAACTGTCATCTTATTTGGATATAACTTCATCTTACTTGGATCCACAATTAACACCCTTGATATCAGCACTCAGGAAATGAGCACACTTACTGCACTGTGAAAGTCTGTAATGACGGACCTCTCCAAATTATTGAGGAGTAATAATGATGTCAGTGCGAGGACTAAAGTGCATTAAAGACCATGGTCTTTTCAATCACTTGCTATGCACCTGAGAGCTGGACAGTGTCTAAGGATGACAGAAGAACTAACATCTTTGAGCTGTGGTGTTGGAGAAGAGCACTGAACATCCAATGAACTGCCAAAAGAACAAGCAATTACATCTTGGAGAAGAGCAGCCAGAATGCGCTTTGGAGGCTTCAACACACATACTTCGGGTGTGTTGCTTCGAAGTGCTGTTTCTTGGAGAGGGACATGATGCTGGGAAGAGTGGAGGGTCAAGGAAGGAAAGAATGATAAGGTGATTAACATGGTGACTGCTGCAATGGGCTGTTATGTGTCAGGAAGTGTGAGGATGGCACAGGATAGGACAAGGTTCAGAACTGTTGTTTATAGGGGTGCTATGGCATCTAACAACAACCACGACTACCAAAAGAATGAACAAATCTATTCTAGAAGAAGTACACACCGAATGGTCCTCAGAAACAGGATATTGAGGAGGTCTCACATTTAGAAGTGACTAATCCTTGAAGATGTTTGGAAAAGTCCTTGAAAAAGAGAAAGACTTCACTAATGAAAGGGACTGACACATGTATAAACCCTTACTCAGCTTACACATACAGATCTAGGACCTGACTGTGTTTCATTCTGTTGGAAACAGGGTATTTATGAGTCAGAACCAAATCAAGAGCAAACAACAAAGGCTATTAGACTGAAAATATTCATGGTTTCATTATAACTAAGCCGTCTCAAAGTTTAAAATATGTATATATCCCAGACATTAGAGCTTACTTCTACCATGAGAATGTAATTTAGTCATGTAAATTAAATATATTATATTACTGGTACCAAACAGCATTTTTTTAGCATTTAAGGATGCTATTTTCTAAGTCTTATGGATAACAACCCTAAAAAAATTTGGATCATTTTATTTCAAAATGTTTCTTCCTGTTTCAGAAAAGAGGAAGTCAGAAGTAGCAAAGTTTCCAAATCATAAAATGTGTTTTAAAACTGAAACTAGGGGCTCCAAAACTCTACACACATTTGAAGATAAGAAAGTATCACATAAACTAGTCACAAGCCAGTATGTGGTCTTCCCTTAGAGGCAAGAATAGGGAGCTCTGATAGCCAAGTGGTGAGAAACTGTGCTGCCAACCCATCAGCACGTGGTTCGAATATGCCAGCTTGGTCTCCCATACTTTAGGCATGTTGTCAAAGGGGCCTGTCCTTGGAAAAAGAAGTCATGCTGGGAAAGGTGAAAGGTCAGTGAAATAGAGGAAGACCCTCAACAAGGTGGACTAACACAGCGGATGCAAAAACAAGCTGGAGTATGGTAGAGATCACAGGGATGGTGCAGGACAGGGCAAAGTTCACAGGGTGGCTAT